AGAATACAAAACCAAAAAGTGAGCATGGGATATTTAAGCATGAATAATTAAAATATTTAAGTGTCATAAGTGTGTGCTCTGTCTTGTGCCCTGTCCTGTTTTTGTTTGGTGTCCGCCTGGGCTCCTTGCCACTGGTCCTTGTTGCTGGGTCGTATGGGGTTGCGTTCATTGAACTTTCCTCGCTGATCTTGTTTATCATATTTTGTGGGTGGATCTAAGTCCTTTGCACAAATTTCTCGTATGAAGTTTGTCTGAGTTTATCTTTGAATTTCACATCTTAAAAGATTTGTTGTATCATCATTTTACTTTAACTATTTGAGATAAGCTGATTTGTCACTTAAGCTTAACTATTTGAAAATAAGCTAACGCTGTAACGTTCAATGCTCACATATGCTTCTTTTCTTTAGAAATGAGGCAATATGATATCACTGCTCTCCATCAGAAACTCAATTACCTTTAAAAATGATGCTTGTATAAGTATATTAGCAAAGTTCCATAACTCGTACATGCAATTTCATTGAATAATGCCAATCTTCTTCTTTTGTTGTTCTTTTCTCCAAACTTAGTCGCCACTTGATTATTGTGACAGCTCCAGTTTTTGTATTTGTCATTCTTTTAATTTCGTTTTTTGTTTTAAATTTTAAACCCTTTTTGGGGTTTACAACCCTTTAAAATTTTTCCCTAAACCCCTGAACCCCCTTTTAAAATTTTCCCATTTTGTTTGGTTCCGCCCATTGTTTTCTCGTTTAGGGCACACGCATTTTTTTACTTGGGGACCATATGCCGCTTTTCATGGAATGGCACTTAGTGTCACATTGAAGGTTCCTTGATAACCGCCATATGAACAAATCTGCGGATGTTTCAAAATTGTACCAATTCATTTCTGCTTAAGCCGGTGCTAGGGGGAGGTGGGCGGTAGTTTGCACTTTACAGTACCGTCCATGAAAAGGCTCTATCAAACCGAGCCTGCAACATTTTCAATTATGTTGTGTTGGACTTCTTTAGGGATCCTTGCTTTCTGTATTTTTTTTGGCAGTCAGACTGTCAGGTTTTATTGTCTGTCCCCTGTAAACAGGATCCATATTTAACTTGAAAGATATTTGTATTAATCGTTTGAACAGTGTCAATGTTAGAAAGCTGAAAAGCTAAACACTAAATACCACTATTTTCAATGTGATCATGTGGTACACGCAGCTTTTTTGCCCAATTCAGGTATGTTTTTAACTTATAACTTTACTAATCAGTTACAAATTATTTATCATTTAATGATTAACCTGTCTTTGCTCTGTCCTTTTTTATGTTTGGGGACCGCCTGGGCTCCTTGTCATTGGTTCTTGTTGCTGGGTCATATGGGGGTTGCGTTCATTGAACGCCGCCTTTCCTTATTGATCTAGTTTATCATATTTTTACTGTTACTCAATTGATTTTGATCCGATAAGGCACAGAGTACCCGTAATTATATCAGATATCCACGGTTTTTGAGAACATTCGTGTACAGTTTATTTTTTATAACGGTACACACTCATCTATCACAACAAGCGACTGAAGTGGTCTGCTTTTTCACTGTTTCGTAGAAAAAAAGAACGCCAATTTCTTAAAGATTTACTAAGTCCAATGTATCTAGTAAATGCAGTGATGTTAAGCATATTTTCATATAGTTATGCTAAAATGGTACGGAACAGACTGTTATTTTAAAGGATACGGTACACACAAATTTTCTGTCATTTTGAATGAAATGTGAAAAATAAAATGAAAATTTGCTATAATTTATATTGTGTTTTATTCTTAAAATTTATGTATTTTATTTATTTATACGATAAAACTTTGGCCAGATTCGTCTCACTATTTTATAGATAAATATATCATTTTATGATTGACTATTGCTGATGTTTTACATTAATGCAGTACTGTTTTAGCATGAGCTCATCTAGTTGAATAGCTACGGAGCATGACTATAAGTAGCAGTCCTAATTTAACGGTACATTTCCGCATTTGTAACGGATGTTTTCATACAAATTTATTCTGTTTCTAGTTTTACTAGTGCCCCCTCGTGTATTAATGATGGCACTAATTATTGGTGTTTTAAAAGCTTCACGTCGTTAAACAATATATCGATACCACAGTCATGTTTAATTAACAATTAAGTTGCCGTTGCTTAAATCTTTAATGTTTTACAAATTCCCCTTTGGTTCATAATAATGGCACTAACAGGCACACACCCACAGTTTCAAAGGAGCATTGTCTAGCACACACAGTGGAATTAGGTACGAAACTATAAATATTAAAAATGAAGTTATAAATACTTAGTTATAAGTTACAACTTTTAAAATGTAATTAATAAATATTATTTATTAGAAATAAGTAATAAATGATACTCCCAGGCTTCCGTCAATTAATAATGACCTTACAAATGTACTTTTATTATTTAAGCAAAACCTTATTCAAAGTTTGACCAATCCATCCAGTTATGGTATAATATTGTTGCAACTAGTGAACCTAGGCACAGATATACTTTTTAAGACGTTATTTGATAACTCAACGTATCTTGATCAAATTCCAAAGAATTAAGAATCGCTTTTGCAGAATTAAGATTGTCTCCTTACTTACTTGGAAAAGAAACTGGACGGTATGGGCTTTGTATAATTGATCGTAGTTAGAGATATTGTCTTCTTGATAATTCATTTGACAAAGAAAATATACTTATAAAAGACATAGTGTTACAGATGCATTGAACTAATGCAGAGTACTTACAGCAACATGAAATATGCAATATTACAATATCCTACATTAATAATGTTGAATCACCCTTAGGATATGTTGCCTGCTTTTTAAATTTGTCTTTTGACGGCTTCATAACCTCTGATCCCCTTTCAAAATTCCATTTTATTTAGTTCCGCCCATTGTTTTCTCGTTTAGGGCACACGCTTTTTATTACTTGGGGACTATACGCCGCTTTTCATGGAATGGCACGGAAGTGTAACATTGAAGGTTCCTTGATAGCCGCCGTATGAACACATCTGCGGATGTTTCTAAATTTATAATTTCATGGTTAAATGTTGAATTTTGCTTAAGCCGGTGCTAGGGGGCGTGGACGGTAACTTGCACATTCCAGTACCGTCCATGAACAGGCTCAATCAAACCGAGCCTGCAACATTTTCAATTTTGCCGTGCTGGGCTTTCTTTAGGGGTTCTGTTTTTATTTATTTTACAGTATAAGCTTATACAGTATCTATTGTTTAAAATTGGTATACAAAGTGTCCATGATATAATTCAATACTTTTGTGATTTAATGAGTCAAAAAATAAACTATTTCTCTTTAAGTTTAACCTCTTTCTTTTTTAGCTTCCATTTGCTCTATTAGCTGGCTATATGTATCATAGTTCCTATTATCGATAATAATTACTCAACGTTTGCTAAGCGCCATAATGTTATATTTTTATTATCACAAGTATAAAACAGATTTCTTTCCAATTTTTGAAAATTCTAATTCAGCAATGTTTTGAGATGCTTACATTAGGCGGCATTTGAGAGAAGCAGAGTTATGGAAGGTTGTACGGATGGTGCAGCAGGGGGCCGCCTTCCACCAGGTTGGTGCGGTGCTGGGTGTACACAACACAGGATTGGTTTCCAGTCATTCAGGAACGTCGTGCAAGGTTTTCGACAACATCTTCTCTTCGAAATGACCTTGCTAATGCTGTTGGGGTCCGTGTTCCGACGCAGACGGTATGTAGAATGCTGCATGAAGGTAATTTGCGGTCGAGAAGACCTTGCATACGTATCACCTTGACGTGTCGACATCACAGGGCCCGTTTTGAATGGACCATTAAAGATACACTTTTTACCATGCGACACTGGAGACAAGTTCTGTTCACTGATGAGTCCAGGTTCTGCCTTGACTTCACAGATAGGGGTGTTAGCGTCTGGAGGAGACGAGGTTAACGATTTTAGACTGCAAATACTGCTGAGCATGATCGCAACGGAGAAAGGACAGTTATGATATGGGAGGCATCAGCTGGGATGGACGAACCGACCTGGTTCTGCTAAAAAGAGGCACACTTTGACAGTCAGAGATACATAGACGACATCAATCACAACCAGGCGGCTAGGTTGTATGGTAGAGAAGTCGGCGATCAGTTAATTCTAATGGACGATAATGCTCGCCCCTATGGAATCAGCGTGGTTAGGATTACCTAGAGAGGGAGTCAGTTGAGCGCATGGACTGGCTAGCTCGCCTGTTTGAATTCCAATATTGTTTGTTTGTTTGTTTGTTTCATTTTACGCCTTTTTCAACAGTATTTCAGTCATATAGGCGGGTAGATACCTAACCATCGTTCCTGGAGAGTTACACCAGTACGAGACTACTTTCCTCCGCGCTAAACTACCAAAGCATCTCCCGGGGATCGAACCCACGCCAGAGAGGTAACTGGATTAGAAGTCATCGACTCTAACCCCTCGACCAATAGAACACTTGTGGAATGTGCTGCAGGTTAGAAATGCTGTTGGTCACAAGCAAGCCAGAACCATCCTGGAGCCATGTTGATCCAAGAATGGACAGCCCTAACCCGTAAGAAAATTGGAAAACACGCTGCATGTCCTAAAATCTACCAAGAGGGGGTTATCCCCTTTTTAGTACAAAATCAATGTAAAACTCAGTTTTAAGTCAGCTGAACTAATAAAAAAGTAAATCAACATTTAAAACTTTTTTGAACGGCGTTAATAAAATTATCCCACTCAAACATATGGTGATAAGCGGAAGCTGAATATTATATATTTGTCTGTAAACTTGTGACAAGTTGACAATTTCTATTGCATCATTGTATGTATCTGTTTGTGTAGCAAGAAACGTAATGTTAACGTTACAAAATAAAATATTTTGAATCTTGAATCTAAATGTAAAAAAACGTAATAACACAGACTAAGCGTTAGAATAAGAAAGAATAAACAACAATGTAATAATATTATTCTTATTTCATTTATCTTTTTATTATAAAATAATTTATGGTATGTAAAACGTAATACAAAACAAATATAAATAATTTCACATATATGATTGCCCAAGCTTTGAAAGAACTTACGCTCGGATTAAAATGAACTTTCTTAAATAAGAGGTACTCTATTTTCGTTGCAGAACAATATACATTGACAAGTAGACAAACATTATTTGACCTTAAGAGGTCAGTGTATGGTAAAATATTTTTATTTTTTCAAATTCCTGAACGTGTTACATTTGACATCAAAATCAGATATTCATACGCATGCAATACTTGACGAATTACATTGGCGAAATGATACACTGTCGTAGAAAACGTATCTTATACTAATATTATCACATAAATGGGCAGAATAAGACTATTAATTGAATGATCCAAGATATGCGTAATTTCAGTCATGGAAATAAAACCACTTGGTCGAATCGAAATACGTTTTTGTTCTTATTATCACAAGGCAACGTCCTCAGCACTGGCCCTTAACTTTAAACACATGACTTGTCTGACTAATTTAGCACCCGAAGATGATGAGTCACTTGTGGCATTTGAGCTTCCTGTATTCGAACACTTACTGAGTCTTTGTATAGGAACTTCTGTTTTGTCGTTTCCACGAGGGTTCCTCTGAATTTCTCGTTGACTGCTTCGTGACATGTTTAATGATTTCATCAATAAAGGACGAAATTTGTTACTCATTAGAAAATATATAACTGGATTCACAACTGTTGAGGTCTTAGCTAACAAAACTGCCACAACTGTCGCTCTAACAGGCAAATATGTTACATCACCATAGGCAGTCCACATCGACACTACTGCGTAAGGCATCCAGCAAATAAGAAACCCCCAACACATTGCAAATGTGATCTACAAACAGAGAAAATGATTAAGCATAACATTGACTGCCACATTCAAATTAAATCTCGAATTCCTTGATCGCAATTTGTATGCAACTTTTGAAAGATTTTTTGGGTAAAGTATGTTTATTGTCAAAATCTATTAAATTCTAGGAGATTTGTACTAAATATATGTAATTTTAATACGAGTACAAAATATTTATATAAGAATGCATTCCCTATTCTATAACTAGTCCTGATAAGTTGGTCCTCTCTTACAAAATTATAACTGCCAGTTTTACTTTGATTTACTATAGTGTATAGAATTCGAAAGAAACAGACCACTGTTTGTGCTCGAAAAATGTTAATTTTACATGTAAAAAGAGCTTATATAGCAGATATCAGTATTTTCATACATCTAAATTAAGCATGACAAATCTTGCATAGAAAAAAAGGAAGAAAATTTTGTTTCTATATTTAAAATGGAAAATGCTTACACATAAATCTTAAATGATATCCGTTTTGGAATATGCTCAAATAAAGAAAAAATTAAGAGTGACGACGTGGCTTTGTGGTTAACGAGTCAGACAATTATGTAAGGATAGTTTGCTGCTCGGGTTAAAAACCCGCCAGGGTAAAGTCGTTGTTTCCGTGAGCAAGACACTTTAAAGTCGGATTAGTACTGGTTTGTTACATTGACAGATTTGGGAGTGTTTCAAAAAGCTTGTAGCTTCAAACACAATCACAGTAAAATAAATAAAAGTATAAACTAAACTTAGGGAAATAAAAATAATTTTTGATATATTTTCACAACTCAAACGTAATTCGATAAAATTTGATCTATCAGAGTGTTCTTACCTTTATAAGATATGATTCTTTCCTTGTCACTTTCGTGGCATTTCTCGACCGCCATTCTCTTAAATTTCGATTACTCTTCCTACATTTGAGCAATATCATTGTATACGAGAAAAACATCACAGCCGAAGGTGTACTTATACAGAACACTGACATAAGCGTTATAAACACTTTATTGTCATTCCACTGGAGTGTGCAAGAAGTTCCGTACGATTCTACAGAATAAGATCCCCATCCACTGAGAGGTATTGATGACCACACTAGCGCATACACATATGGAAATATTATGGTGTTTTTCGTGAATTTAATGCTTGCTATTCCTGCAACAAAAATGTGATCTTTAGAATTATTGGGTGCATTTTTTATATTTTGTCAAATATAAAAATATACGGTATAGATGATAACACTAATTTCAGCGCAAAATTTCTAAGATTGTTATTATTTTTATATATATTATATTAATAAACTATATCATTCGTTTCCGTTTATTAATAACATACTTAATACTTAAATGAATATTATGACAGTATAAGAAATCAACATACTTATTTGTGGATGACACACGCTGATATATCGAGTCAATCCCATGATGGTCAACGTTGTAATGCTAACTAAACCAAAGAAAAATCCTAGAAATCCGTAAACAACGCATCCTGAAACCATAAACAAGTTAATACATGTAATAGTGAAAAGACTTAAAAGTAAATTATGCAACCATATTTATTTGACAAATGAAAAATGATTTATCCTTGATTTAACTACTTGTAAATCTTTGGCTTCTGAAATGAATAATTAGTACAAAAGCCTTCAAAGTGTTTGCATTTGTATGTGCTATATACATGCAACAAGCTACTCTGTATTATTAGTTTGAATAAATGAAGTAAAACATGACACATCGCGTCTCAGATATTTAGTTAAGATCTACATGTAGTCGTAAACAAACATTTTCTGAAAATTCAACAGGATCTATTAAAAAGGCAATATTTTAGACGTTGTATGTTTGAGGGATTTACGATCCATAGCACCGCATTGACCAATACTGTACATTAACAAATATGGTATTGGATTGAAATATGGAAACATAAGCAGATGTGTGCATGTGTTTGTAAGTATTGAAACGTCTAAGTGACAATTGAATACCTGGTTCTTCGAACATCCATCGATGAAAGAAAGATGATGAGATGGGTAATGGAAACGCTGTCATTGGCAAAATGGTATCACTGCATGCTAAATTCAGAATGTAATAGTCGGACATCAGTAAAGACTTCCAGTTCCGAAGGCAAGTATAAATCACCAAGAAATTTAGGATGAGTGCCAGTAAAACTGAAACAAATGAAACGAGTATAATTTGAATATATGTTTGTTTGTTATAGTTGAAGTGTTGTAAATATATTAATTTATCTGTAAGCCATTTTGCTTAATTCATCAGCCTTTTACTTGACAATAACAATGATCAAAGTGGATCTTCGTTAATGTAATAATATAAATTCAATCAAGAAATAATTGAGCAGAGTCAATCACCATTATCTGTTAGTCACATGCTATTAAAGCATTATTGTAATGAAAATAAGCTAAGATAACGAGATTTCATTATTTCTTTCTTATTCAATTTCGGAATGGAAGTTCTGTCCATTGATAGATATATCTGACAATAAAATATATGATCCTTTTCTAAGCGGCGCTTCCATCATTGTATATTAATAATGATTATAGTTTTACGCGGCTATTTAGAGTATCGTGTACAAAGAAATATATTAGATTAAATTCAACAAGAACTGTCACGAAAGTGACGAATGCCCTTTACGCAATGCTTTTGCTTTAAAATCATTATAGAAAATATATTTTCTAATTACTGCTTTGGAATTTGATAACTTGTAAGTACAAAATCCTTCATTCATTTAAAAGTATATTATGCCTTAGAAATTCTATCGTTTCTATGTACATTTTTTTATATTTTATCTTGTATTTACCATATAGAGGATTTCTATCTTTTGCTTCTTTAGCTTTGTCGGCAATTTGTATAATAATTATTGAACATTCTGTATGAAAGTCAAATACTACTTCATTTACATTTTGCTACCTTTGGAACACGTAGATGTTCAATAAACCCTACTTTATCAGCTGTTAAACAACATCTCAATCATAATTAACCACATGTTTGACATTTTTAAACAATTAAAAAATATAGATTTCTGAGGCATATTTTGCCTTGCAATGAACAATTAAATAATAAACTGCTAAGTTACGTACACACGATTCCAAGATATGTGCCCACAATGTTATCTTCCCAGTTAACAAGTTGTGATGAAAACTGAAGTTCATAAGATGCTCCTTTCTGTGTACTGTTCTTTACTTGACTTGCATATGCTTCATTCATGCTTAATCACTGTAATAAAAACAGAAATGCTTAATTAATAATATATTGTATACTGTTTCACAATATTGCAAAAGATAAAGCCAGGGACAATCCATTCTTACACACCGGTGCCCGCTCATGCCAGGGGCACATGATATTTTCCTACTAACTGCTAAAATTCAACTGTCTCCATTTTTATTATACATGATCAGACGAAACCTCACACCCCGATCCAGTGTAAACAGTATGTAAATTTTCTGAGCAAACAAGTGTTGCCTTGGTTCTAAACAAAACGATCTGCATTTACTGTCATGCCAACTTAATGAATCAATACCCATTCTGTGGGCAACAGCTCATTCTAAGTTAGGTAGACTTAACATATTACTTACAGGCTCATGTTTATATCTGATTTCTTACAAAGGTCGATATTAGAAAAGTATAAACTTTTTAAAATACTGCATCCCACGTAAGTTAATTTTCAACGTAAGACTGCGGCGCCAGGAAGAAGAATAATGAACGTTCCGTTTCGTTGCAGGGTTTTGTTCGGTTTTTAATCTCTTACTTTAATTCCACCAAAATACTCTAAATTGAGGAAATCTGCAGTTGACTCAGTGTGATTTCAAAGTATAATGAACACCTCATATAGATCATGCATTTCCAGTTTTAATGTTCTACATTTAAAGTTTTTCGAGTTTCTCGATCAATTTGCGCTGATCGTAAAAAACTACGGCATAACTCAACATTTATGAGTATCATCTATAGTCAATTCATGATACTTTATTCAAATAACGATGTACTAATTTTAGTAACTGTCGTGTGCTCAACATTAGAAAGGCCACATTTATTTATTTGGACAATACTCATTTCTAATAGAGCGCTTTCTACTCTGGCTTCTTGCTAAAGGATGCTTCATAAAATTAGCTGAACTGTAACTTTTGTCTCACTTTCTCCATATTTGTGTTTGAATTTCAAATTTATGCAATTTCAATGTTTTAAATACGCAGAAATAAACATAAAATGTCGGTCTTAAAGCGGTGTTATCGATGTCAGCATTAGTCTATTTATGGGAGAATTAAAAGTTATTTCAGCCTCCATTTTTCTAGATTGAAAACGTGTTTTTTGAGGTTCTTGAAGTTAGAATTAATGGAGCTTCCATGTGAGTCGAACCTCACGACGAGTGTTTAATGAATGATGAGTGGTATTGATTTTCACCAGTTAATTTAGCCGTAACGAAATTAAATGCCATTATCGTTCGTCTGCTTGTAAACAAGTTTGAGTCCGAGAGTATTGTTCGTGCAGATTAGTTAATCGGATAATAAGAGATTATTGGAGTGATGACAATCCATATGTGAGAGACGATGAGATGTTGTTAAATGTTATTCTATGATATTATAACTTCATTATCGGAGAATTGAGAGTATTGTGTTCTTTACCATATAGATCATTACAAAGAACTGAAAAATACATAAAACACCTGGCGGGGCTTTTCCTCGACATGCCTGATATATAAAGTAGGTGTATTTTATTTCAACATATACCTCGTACTGTAATCTACGTCCTTTTTTCCTTTTGTGTGCACGATTATATATAATCTCACTAATTTATATGAGAATTCGCTATAGATACATTCACTATGATATCCTATGACATTAACACGACTTTATATATTTTTTTGAGTTCAAGTCATTAATTTTCTCAACTCAACAAAATTTGTTTATCTTATCTTTTATCATGTATATTAGAAGTAAACCATATCTCGACTTATTGCTAATGTGGGAAGGTTATCAATGTAAAATGTTTCTCTATGATAATACCATATAAATAATTAATAGAATAATAATTTAATTATAAAACATATGAGTAGTTAACTACCAAGTTGCAATTATTTCTTTCTCTAATGATTGAACTTCAAATTTGTAAGCGAGAGTATACTCAAACTAGCATTGACAAACACCTAACATAATGCATGTCTTATTAATTTGAATTTGATTTAACCAAAATGAATCTAGCTATAGAGTACCAATAATATAGAAAAGCGTTCGATTTGAGCATAATTATTAGTAAGACGCAGTATCGAGTGTTATGTAATGGTTTCTGTGTCGTAGCTAATACGTATCAAAAATTTCTCGCATGATTTATCTTCAGGAATTAATATAACTTCTCACTTCAAAATGCTGAGACAGTGAACTGCAATAGTATATAATTAGAGATAAATGTTCTTTGTTAATTATAATGCATATCGAGCACTTTTCTATAATACCTACTTATTATAAACATGTACACCCTGAAACTATATTGTATATATATTCAATCTAGCCATACAACTTTTACTCTAAAAGAAACACTATAATCTTCAGAGACACTTATTATTCCTAACTCAATGAGGAGCGTGCAAGTAGTTCTAAAACATACTTTATTTAGAAGATTTGAGAGTATGTAACCGAGCCTAATTTATTTGTACTCTTCAGTACCATAACAATAGTAATGCAAAATGATGTTGCACTACAGCGGTACCTATTTCCAAGAATGCTTTTTTCAAATGTCAAATACTTCTGTTATACAATGATAAATATCTTATCACGGTGAAGACACAGAAGAGGCAATATTTCCACTTGAATCGAGACGAGCTCTATATCGTTATCCAAATATATCGAACATAATAAATCAGTATTTGGGTATATATTCTATATTTAATCTCAATGATATTCATAGTATATTGTACTTCGTTAATATTTATCATACGCAAATATCTCGACCGATCATAGTACGTGTGCGAGGTATAGTTAATTTCATATTTGTCTTATTATTATAGTTCGAGCGAGTTGAATCTATTTATGATAATATCTCTGACAAATAGTGCATTCCTATATTTAAGTTCCGCTAGTCTCAACGGTGTAAGATAAAAGTATTTATGCACCAAGCAAAACTTCACTGTAGATGAGTGCCATGAGGCTCTCAATTTTTGCGACTGAATATATATGTTCTAAATTTTAAAAGAATTGCAAATGATATTTGTATAAAAACACAAAGTTTTAATTTTAGAGAAAAAGACTTCATCGCGAGACGGAAACAGTTCGAATTTTTCCTTCATGAAACACACGAGACAGATCAGATTCTAGGAAATAAGTGAGACATTCTAACACGCTTATATCTATTAACTCCCTGTTAATTCAAAATTACATGATATCACATTTTTAATATAACATCATATCATGATTGAAGAAGTTGGAGTAAAATAACTACCAATATTTGCTCAAAATAAAAAGTTCTTATTATATGTATGATTCGAGATAAAGTACTATAAGCATAATTCTGGAAACTAGCTGCTTGTCTGAGTTATTGAAGAGTATACTTACATTGATAGAAAGATGAAATGATAGAAACATTTTATGATGCAAATAGTTTGTTAAGTATTAGATATACCGACATTAAATTTAGAATATATATAGAAAGTCTGAGGAAATAAGAATATCAAATGTTTTTTTGTATAATCAAATATAATTTTTCTTAAGTTCAAGTGGGAGATAGTTAAATTATGTGTATTTTCATTGTACATAAATAATTATTGTGAACAACGAAGTTGAAATTATAATTAACTGCACGTTTAACAGCTTTCAATGTAAAACCTTGGTCCAAACATCGTAAATACTGTTATGTATGGATTGATTAGACAAGCAACTTATATTTAAAAGTTTGACGTTTGATTAAATATCTATCTAAATGGAATCTATGAAAGAACCTGTACCGATATGTTGTAAAAACTTGAGACATCAGAATCAGAACTCTTGAAATTCAGTCTATTGTTGCGCATAAAAATTCTGCACTAAAAATTTTCAAACACAATAAAATGTGATTGATGACAGTAGAATAGGTTTTTGCTAATAAATTTCACATACTGTCCTATAACTTAACCCATAATAGTAGCATATGCCCTGTCAATAAGACCAGTAATTTTTACAGTACTTTTTTAGTATAATAAGGTCTATGTTGAGGTGACCATTCTCAGTGTTATGTAGATATTGCCTGAAACTAAGTTCCGTCAGTCTATTTATAGTTTAGCCATAGCAAGCCAGATTCAACATAGGAAGAAAAAAAAAGATGTTGCACTCCAAAATCTTACATACACTGCCATCACATCTGTCCCAATATATATTATTAGTTTCAATAAAAATATTTTCAAGTACATTTATATCTCAATTTATCGAAAACAGGGATACCAATTTAGCTAGGAACGCACTGAAGCGAGACGGTACGCTCAGAGCACGGATAACAATGAGATATAACAGACAAACCTGTGATTATAACTGATCGGACTGGAGGGTCAAAACTCTAATAGAATGTCCCCTCCGGTAAATCAGAGCCGTAAGGGGACTAATTATATTTCCCTGTAAAATGTTTCTATAAGTTTTTTGTTGGACAAAAAGAAAAAACATATTCGATGAAAGAAAGAGTAAGTCACGGACGACTATGTATCACTATTACATGAAATATTACAAGAATTGGTCCTTTGTGAGTGCAAATCTCAATCGACCATGTCTCTATCGTATTATCCGCAATTTTTGAGTTTTATTAAAATACTCTTATATATAGATCTGAATAATTATTAAGTATTGTAATATATTAATATATTCTATTGATTCATAGATGATTATTGTGAGTTTCTTGAAATAGTTAGTAGATTAGTAGGAATTAATTATCAAGATTCTACAGAATGGCTATCCTGTAAGTGCCAGCAAATATACACTATGATATCAATTTTCGTTTAATAGAATTTGTCTATATTATGGATAATTTCCAGTTAATGCAAAAATAGTATGAGATTTTCAAACAATGTGATTGAGTATAACCTATGACGATTATATGACACTCTATTGCATTTGGAGAGACGAGCAATATTATACGTTTTAACAATGAATTTAGAACTGTTATTTCCTTTCCCTTGGCGTAGAGTTTTGTTCCACAATTCTCCCTACCCTGACCGTTTACTTAATAAACAAATTTGTTTAACTTGTTCATCTTCA